TATTTTATTTGAATGTTCAAATATACAACTAATGCACCTGTTTTCTATTTGTCCGTCAATCACTGACAGTACTGACGTCCATAATTGAATTATTAGCATCTCTTTCTTTCAGCCAGGGCTTTCATAAATTAATAATTTAGGTTTGTCATGTCACAAGCAGACAAAGCTTAAATAACAGTTTATTTTAGAGGTCAATGCTCTATTATTTTATTTGTACATATTAATTATTGACATTAAATATGCTAATTTTAATAATTCATATCAGCACTTCGAGACACTAGTTGGCTTTCATTTAATTCCATGCAGGTCTGACCATTGACGGGCATTTCTACTTTAATTATTTTTTATTTTCATCTATATAATTATAATATTTTTGCGGCCCGTCAATGAATATCACAATATAATTAATGACTAGTGATTAGTGATACTGAAAGTGATAAATAATAAATTCGTGCCGAAGATCATGCAAAATAAATATAATAAATAAAATGTTATTTTAATTAAATTGGCAAGGACTTTATGATGAGGGAAATATGAAATGTTTTATAATGTGGCAGCGAAGATCGACACGCCAGTCTATGATGGGCTTGAGCGAGAATCAAACAACGAGATATTTTGTATTTAATTAAATTAAATTAACAAGTAACATCATATAAAATTATTTGTTATTTTAGAATTGAAATTCATGAAATGCGAAACTTTTTCGAGCGTGGTGTAAAAAATAGTAAAAAACGTGTGCATTAGCCGTCAGCAGTTACAGTGGATATAAACGAGTTTAACGGATGACTAACACAGATCTAGAATACGAGTTTGAATTTCTATCTTGCCCGTTTTATCTCATAAATCGACTATCATGAATCGCTGACGAACAATGGAATCACTTTACATCGACGATTCAAACGATTCTGATTCAAAGTATCAGATTTTGTAGTTAATATTCACGTCCTGTTATGTCGCACTCTGATATTTTTTACGATCATAATTTTTTACGTTTTTGATCATTAAAAAGAAAAAGTTGATCCTATTCGAGATCCAAACCTTTTGAAAGGCTAATTTTATTATTTGTTCCATTTAAATTTCCGGATTTTTCGAGATTATCGAGTCAATAATTTTTATTACTAAGCTTCCCGAGTCGAAATTTTATTTTGCTTAAATTCTGTTTCAACCTAGCTAGTCTAAAGTCAGAGTGTACTAGGCTGAAATAGAGTTTAAGATATAGCAATCTACGTTGAAATTAATTTCTGATTCAGCCTAGTAGCGCCTACTTAACTGCATTTTCAGGCGAGTTGAGGCCGAGGAAGGTTTTAAAAATTTCGATATTAAGACCCTGCTACACCCTAATTAGTCTGACCTATATTCATGAAATATCTTGACCTACGTCATTTTCCACGAATTTTAACAGTTATCAATAATAATAAAAACTTCATATATAATTATACTTTTGAATAAAAATAAAATTAATTAGAAACATTATGATATTAAGAGTATCTTATTATTTGAGGAAATCGACTATTAATATTACAATAGTACTGATTGTTATTATTATTATTGTTCAAAAGTGTAATTACATTTATAATTACTGTATATTATTGATAATGAAATCGATATAATTTTCTAATGATTTCTTTATCAATAATATACAGTAATTGTAAATCTAATTACACCTTTGAACAAAAATAATAACAATCAGCACTATTGTAATATTAACAGTCAGTTTTCTCAAGTAATAAGATACTCTTATTATTATAATGTTTCTAATTAATTTTATTTTTATTCAAAAGTATAATTATATATGAAGTTTTTATTATTATTGATAACTGTTAAAATTCGTGGAAAATGACGTAGGTCAAGATATTTCATGAATATAGGTCAGACTAATTAGGGTGTAGCAGGGTCTTAATATCGAAATTTTTAAAACCTTCCTCGGCCTCAACTCGCCTGAAAATGCAGTTAAGTAGGCGCTACTAGGCTGAATCAGAAATTAATTTCAACGTAGATTGCTATATCTTAAACTCTATTTCAGCCTAGTACACTCTGACTTTAGACTAGCTAGGTTGAAACAGAATTTAAGCAAAATAAAATTTCGACTCGGGATTTCTGCAATTTTATGTAAGTACAGACGTTCATCTATCTGTTATAAATTTTACAGAATTCAATATATTATGATTAGTAAAGATTAGTATTACTAATCATTGATTACTATAAGACTCTTTCTTTTTCATCTAAGAGTCTGTTTCTCCAATGATTAATAATATTTTAATCTATAGTATTTTTATATACATACGATATAACGCGGCTTATCCGGACGATAGCGTCTCTAATTCATAATGGATCCTTTCCAAACTCAACATACTTCATTTTTAGACGAATACCAAGGCCAAGTTCAAAGATGAGCTTAATCGGTCAAGTAGTTCATAAATTACAGGGTTTCAAAATTTTCAAAATCCTAAAAATTCATTTTTTGGCTGATTCTTTCGCGCATAACTTTTGAATGAAATAACTTATCGAATTTTTGTAAATTGCATTTTAAAGCCCATTAAACCAGCTTTAATTTTCGTACCATTTCATTTTTCTAAACTTAAAATAACCTATTCGTCTGTAGGTTTCAATGAAATTTTACTCTTGCAGTCGTTTCTTCGATTGATTTGTCCAATATATCTCCTATAAATCTGTATATATTTTCATCTTTATTTATGAAATCTACTTCCATTTTGGCTGCCGAATGGCCTTTTTTTAATTTTAAGGTAATTATAAATTCTAAAGCAACGAAACACCTTAAAAATTTTTTAGAATCATTTTTGTGATTTTATGTATGCATAGATAATTTTATAAATCCACATTTAGATATCATTATTATATACATATATATTAGGGTGATTCAAAAAAACTTTTTAATTTTTTTTTTTAACTCATACCCTCTCAAATGTTTCTATTTGATATAAAAAAAAATCCTTACCAAAGATGAGCCCTATAGCTCAACTCTAACGGGTCGCTATTGTTATTTTATTTTGCCATTTAATTAACATGGGGTAAATTCTTTTTTGTTTCAAATTGAATTTAAACATAATTTACGAAATTTTTTACAAAAAACGATTTTATATTCTTAAAGTAGAGTCTTTGAGCTTTACAAAACTCTAAGACAAAGTATGATTATTTCTACAGAAAGACTAGTTACAGCCATTAAAAAATGACTAAATTTCAAAATTTAAAGAAATATTTGGCAATTGGGTAATTCCATGTCAAATCGACAAATAGTTGGCATCGATCTCTTTCGATTTGGACAAATTTTGGTCAGAAGTTTTCGTTTATCATAAAACGAAGTTCTGCCAAAAAAAACAATAAAAAAATTTTTTTCAAAAATTATGCAAATTCAAAATTTCGCAATTTTTTCAGTTTTTCAATTTAGATTTTGTAATATCTCGAACGCTATTTTAGCTCAATTTTTTTTGTATAATACATTGTACTCATCATTGTTTACAATACATTGTACTCATCATTTTTCATGCGTTAAGGATGACTTTGAGATCATGTCCAAAAAATAAAAAAAATTTGAAGTTTATTTATTATTCAATATTTCAACGTGATGCATTCAATTTTTAATCCTTAAAATTATAATACTCTGTATCTACATAACTTTACCTTATTCGAAAGTTGCAAAAAATGAAAAAAAATTTTTTTTTGAAATTCAAAAATTAATATTGTTGAAAAAAAACCTTCTGAAAATTTCAGAATCTTTTATGAGTACAATGTATTATACAAAAAAAAAATTGAGCTAAAATTTTAATTGCGATCATCATTTTTAACGATTTTCAAAAATTCAAAATTTGACAAATTTGGCATTTTTGAAAATTTTTTACCAAAATATTTTTTTTCAATAACCCAAGTGTCCCTTTTTAAACAAACGAAAGGCCGTTCCTATATCTACAATATCGTCCGAGATATTACAATAACTAAATTGAAAAACTGAAAATATTGCGAAATTTTGAATTTGCATATCTTTTGAAAAAAATTTTTTTATTGTTTTTTCTTTGGCAGAACTTCGTTTTATGATAAACGAAAACTTCTGACCAAAATTTTTCCAAATCGAAAGAGATCGATGCCAACTATTTGTCGATTTGACATGGAATGACCCAATTGCCAATCCAACTATTTCTTTAAATTTCGAAATTTAGTCATTTTTTAATGGCTGTAACTAGTGTTTTTGTAGAGACAATCATACTTTGTCTTAGAGTTTTGTAAAGCTCAAAGACTCTACTTTAAGAATATAAAATCGTTTTTTGTAAAAAATTTCGTAAATTATGTGTAAATTCAATTTAAAACAAAAAAAAATTTTTCCCATGTTAATTAAATGGAAAACTAAAATAACAATAGCGACCCCTTAGAGTTGAGCTATAGGGCTCATCTTTGGTGACGATTTTTTTTATATCAAATAGAAACATTTGAGAGGGTATAAGTTAAAAAAAAAAATTAAAAAGTTTTTTTGAATCACCCTAATATATATTAATTATAAATAATTTATAAATTTAATAAAAAATTATGTTCATTACAAATCTATCATGTATACGATTTCCATTACTTATAGTTATTACAAACTCTGATCTTCAAGTAAGTCTAGTAGGTAAACAGGTAGTGAATCAGTCGTCCAAGCGTCAGGTCCCAGATTCGATTCCTGCCTACGGCAGATATTTTCATTTCTATGGAAATGATTATATATAATTCTATATAATTTTATACAATTATATACCATTTCTATCCAATTTTATCGGGCCATTTTTTTATATAATTATATATAATTGATACACAATTGTATCTAATTGTATAAAATCTTTTTTACTCGGGCATAAAATACTACAAGTTATATTAGTGAAATATGACTAATTTTATAAATTTTCCAACACATTCTATTTTTTTAAACATTCTTTAGTGACATTCGGAAATTTTTTTTTATATTCTCTTACAATTTGAATGCCATATCGTTTTTTATCTTCGTGCTTAGCTTAAGTATTAATATATTTTTCAGTTAGTTTAACAGCTTGTTCTGCAGAATCGGTTACCACTTTCAGATGCTTAACAATTTCCAAACCTTTTAAATAATCTGGGTGTTGTGACCATGTACTATCATCTAATAGTAGAAAATCTGTATCGATATTGAATCTTTCGAAAAATTTGGCGGAATTATAATTAATAAAATAATCAACGTTTTTGTCAAGAAACCAATCAAACTCTCCTGAATTGAAAATAAAACATTTAGAAAAGTCAAACTGATCCTGTTAGGAAATACTGAGGTGGTTAGGAGGTGGTAAATAAAAAGCGCGGTGAATTCAAACTTAAATTTATTGTCAGTCTTCTTACACCGATTAGTACTCAATTGAATAAAATATTATATAATAAGTTTGCACTTGGTATAGACTCGTGGCAGTGAATTTCAACCGTATTAAGAAAGTTTCTTTTGGATGCGTGACCCTTCGTTGAGAACCTTCTGGTATATTCAAAGGAAAGGCTTAGAAGGCGCGGGGGTCTCTTAGAGATGCTCTTCTAAGCAAGATGATGCCCAATTTCCTTTGAGAGAACTCGACTTGCACCAGGAGGTATACTAAAGACGGCTACGAGAAGAGCCTATTACTTGAGAGTTTTCTTACTGATATGTAAGGTTAGACACTTTATTTAGGTACTTGACTCTTGATTTTAGATGTTAACTGTTTAATTGCACGATAAAAACTGATGCGGTGGCACTTGGCGCCTGTATTTATACTTAAGCCGGGAGGCCCAGAACGTTCTGGTAAGCATGCGCAGACATCGATTTCTGGAACGATGCCTGCGTCGATAATTTTCTAGAGGAATCGATTTCTCGAAAGTTACTAGATAGAGAGCGCTTCGAGTCTTTAGGCGGGAGTTTGAATTAAATTATGCGAGAGATGGCGCCATTACTAAATTTATTAGAAAAAGAGACTAGAGATGGCGCCGCTAACTTGATAAATCTCAAACAGATCCTCTTTGCTTGACGTCAAAGCAACCACCATTTTTCGTCTGACGTCAGAAGAAATATTTTCATCGATAAATGATAAAGCTGCTACGTCCGGACTTAAATACCACAACACTGTAAATTTAAGTGTTTTACCAAAACACACATAAAGCGTTTTTTTCCTATCTTTAGGCATTGTAGTCACTTTTAAAACACTTCCACGTGTTTTAATTTTCTATTTTTAAATGCCGATTTGTAGGCACTTTTAAAACACTCGGATTTACAGTGAAATGAATTCTGAATTTTGCTAAAACTGCTTTGGATAATTTTTTATCAATTGATAATTAAGACTGATAATTATAACGTACTTTAAGAAATTTATGATCTTGTTTCGGAGCAGTTGCAGCTAATGGTGCCGTATACCAAAATGGAACATATATAAATACAATGAATAAACAAATTTCTTGTGAACTCTTTTCGTCTCCTTTAGTTAATTTGAAACAGTTTCGGAAAATATAAATTTTTAAACAATAAATTTCTTTGGATATCCATCGAGCGTGATGGAATGCTCCAGGCTTATAAAATTTTATATTTTCAGAATCCATTGTGCCTAGAAAAATTTTACTCAACTCAAAAAGTTCTCGGTAGTCATTCCGTGGTAAAAGAGTGTTCAAAAACTCATTAATTTTTGCAGTCACTTCCGGCATTGGATCTCTTAATATCTTCTTCAATTTATTTTTTTGTACAGACTCAAATTTCGTCGTATGAATAGAACCCCATTCACTTTGAAATTATTTAAAGAATGGTATATTTGGTCCGATTATGCCTGGCATTTTTGTAGAGTGTACGCAGGATAATACTAATTCATATATGTGGTGTCGACAGGGGAGGTATAACAAATCTCTCTCAAGTTTGCGTTCTATAATGACTGCAGCTCCGTTTTTCCAACCAAGGTTAGAAGCAGTAGTATTACACCAAAGTGCTTTAACGAAATGGTTTAAACCCCACTCATAAATAATGTTAAGAATTTCTTCTTTTTGAATAATCTTTCAATACATTCACAAATCATTCCAACTGGGATTAGTTTACCGTCCTAGTGTATAACTACGGCTTCAACTTCAATTTTATTGAACAGTAGTTTAAATTTTTTTAGCCATTTTTTTCGTAGATTACATCGTATCTCATGGATTGAAGACTTATTTAAAACAAGATCACGTAGGTCAACTCCCATAGCTGGTGCCATAGCTGAGGTAAGACGAACTGATTGTCTGTAAGAAATATTACAGCTGTCAAGCACGACAATTACATTTTCTGTGAGAATTTTAATAGTATCTCTAAGGTGTTTTGATTCATCATTTCGCCCCGTTGCCTTAAATTCAGATACCGAAGTTGATGGCGAATTACTAATAGTTTCTCAATTAAATTTTATTTCACTAACGGATTTTGAAGTCTTTGGCGTATCGGTATCAAGTGAAGAAAAAAACTATTGGAAACTAATAATATTAAGAAAATTTTCTGAAATAAAAGCTTTTAATATTACCAGACATTTTTTCTGGACTCGTCATAACGTGATCTATTGCTGCAAGTGATTGAGTCAAAGGCACATTTTTGGAGGACTCGTCGATTTTTACCTGATTATCAGTTGATGAAATGAGTATTTCTGTAATTATATTATTCGGTATTAATAAATTTCAATAAGATATTTACTTGCACTTATGTATTGTTTTAATCCTTCGAGTTCGCTGATCAATCAAAAACTGTTGTGTCTCATTATCTATCATATCGAAAGTCTTACTACAAGCAATATCGAATAATTTGTCAAAAATACTGCATAAATCTTGCTTTTTTATTTTATTTTTCCTGTTAACAGTTTTTTGCACCTATCGGTAGTCTGTATAAAGCGTATTTAATTTTTCGACACATCGTGGATTATCTTGAATTGGGATTTCTGCTATATCCCAAATTTTTTTAATTAAATAATTGGACAGCTGTCTCCTATTGATTGTTTTAAATCTATTGTGTTATGGAATAATAGCTGCAAGGCTTCTTTGTTTGTAGCTTATTTTTTATCACTTATAGTATCGATCGTTTTACCAATTAAAAATATATTTTTTCTTCAGTCCATTTGTTAATTGTCACTTATTGTAAATAACAATAAAATTAAAATTCTAGGTTATGACTATTTATAAAAATATAATGATAATTTTTGGTACTCTGTATAAGTTCTATTCACGCATTTATAATAAAAAATAACGTCAGTATTGATAAGGTTATGCACCACTGATTCCAAATAATAATTTAGATCACATGTAATAATAAAGTAATAATAACAGAAACAGCTACAATACTTTTAACAACAGAAAGTTTTGGATAATAACTGACCATAGTCAACACACATCGCCGGCTAGTCACGGTACCACATTTCTCTTCCATGCGCATGCGTAGCCACGACTTCTGTTTTTTCATGAATGTAATTGTGAATCCGAAATTTTTAATTTATCGGAATTTCTTTTTGAGAATGTTCGACTCTCCTCTTTTCAATAATTTTGACAGATCCAAAAAAATAGCCAAAATCAGATATTTTCGGCAATAAACAATAAATTTTGATATAAATAATGATAATTTTTTGTTCAAAACGAAAAAAAATAAAAATTTATTTTTAGTTCAACTTTGACCTTGAATAACTTTGACGCAAGTGATTTTTTCGAAAAATGTTAAGAAAAAGTTTTTATAGAGTGTTCAATTTTCTACAAAAATAATTAGATGCCGCAGCGATGTATCAACTGGCTTCGCAAAGAAAAAATTGATTGCAAAAAGTACCAAAACCCCATGTTATTTAAATAAGAAATAAATCGTCTTCGTGGCATGGATTATTATCAATATTATGGGCTTATATGGGTTGGATATTTTTATTAGGCCATTTACTAAAAATTTTAGGGGCACTGCAGAGTCAAAAACCCATTTGGGAAATAACAGACACCCTAGTCTTTATGTAAATAACAAATTTAATACAATTTTATTTTTATCATATTACTTTCAGCTCGGATTCTTCTGCATCCGACGAAGATAATGAAACATGGGATTCCACTCTAAAAAGAGAGATTTTCAATTGGCCGTCCAATAAGAAGATAAAAAAAAGTACACTACGAGAATCCTAAACTAGATGTCAAATCATAGTTATTCAGTCAACTAAAAGAAAAGTAATAACATTAAACAACGTTTTAGATATTGGAGTGCAGACTACGAATTCTCCCCACCGAACGCAACATACAATTATGAAAACCAATCACAGTATTATCAACTCACCGTTTATAAGGGACCCTCGTACGTCATCGAATCCATTGCAAGAGAAGGACCTTCAGAATAATAGATTCACAAATTGTGTATTGGGGAATCAGCATCCAATGATTACGGTAATTCTATATAATAAAGCTTGAAATGGACATGTATATGGGGCATTCCACGCCAAATCGACCACTTTCGACCCTGACGCTTTTTTTTCAAAATTTTTGTTATTAAATGTTCTTTTTGGAAAAAAATGAAAAAAAATGATTCAAACCTATTTTCATCGTTATTTTTTAGATTTTCCGAAAAAACTCCGACTTTCTCGATGATTATCATTTTTAATTTCTTTTTTCTTTCTTTCATAGAAAACGTTTAAATTTTCTACAAATATCCTAAAATTTTCAGAAATTTGTTTTTTCGATTTATATTTTTTTTTCAATTGAAAAAAAAAATTTTTTTTTTAATGTTACGTTCTCAGAATTTCGCCCAAAATTATTTTTTTTATTATTTTATAAATATTATATTTTAAATTAATTTATCTCGTTCAATTCTCCGAATGCACATTGAGAGATATCCGTTGCTTCGCTGGTGGCTTGATCAGCAGCTTAGTAACGGAAATCTCGCGATAAGGCATCGGCAGAGAGTCACCGCGGTCGCGGATAGTCCAAATATCTTGCGTCAGCATGGGACCCGGGCCTCGATGACTCTCTCAGGGAGTAACCTGAGCTGCAAACATGGCTGAAATACTGTTTATAAAAACTAATCTGGAGTTGATTCAAGTCAGTAGATCCACGAACTTTCTTGAGCACAGAGCTCTGTCCGACTTGAACCTCTCCAGATCCTTAATCCAGTAAAAACTAATAACACTAAACACGCTGTTAAATCCTTTTGTTGCGAGCGCTTTTCAGCTGTTCCACCAATTCAAATCCTTTCGGTGCAAAGGCTTATTAGCCGTTTCACCGATTAAATTTCCCATGGCGTGAGCGCCTTTCAGCCGTTCCACCAATTCAAATCCTTTCGGTGCAAAGGCTCATTAGCCGTTTCACCGATTAAAATTCCCATGGTGTGAGCGCCTTTCAGCTGTTCCCCAGGTCCAAAAACCCACTTCGGAGATGAGGGCTCATTAGCCGTTCTATCCGAATTTCCTCCTCGGTCCATGCCGCGGAAAGGCAGGCGTTCACGTCGTTCGGGTCGAGCTGTACAAAGGGGCCGTTCATTTCAGTTACGGTCGCTTATCTTGTCTATGCCCATAATCTCTGACGAGGAGCCAGAAGTATCGCGAGTGCCAGTACCGCCAACGTACTTCAGGGTAATTATTCGCCCAGGTCACCATCTCCGTCGCTGCAGGAACCATCGAGCACTGGACCATGAATTCCCGAAAATCATCCAGTCTTTTGGACGGACGTATCACGTCCCTGGGTACTCAAGGCCATCGACCTTCCGGAATATTTCCAACCACCAGGTGAAACAATTCCTCTTCAAGATCCAAGGTACGGCTACTACTCTGAGAAGTACTTTCTCCGCACCGGATTTGACAGCTATCCTCCGTTTGAAGCCAGGAGGCTTGCTCAAAAGGGTATTATTTGGGCAAAACTATGGGGCCCGTAATGGTGAATCTTTAAATTATTAAAGAGGTAAAAGTTTTTCAATTCATCCAAGATGGCGGACCTACCAGATCGTGGGAAAAATGCTGAAAAAGTTTTTAAGTGCCATTCGAATTTTAAGGTACCAAAAATTGTTATCTGTTTAATTTGTGAAAATGTGTACCATGAAAGAGACTTTAATAAATATACAAAGGGTCAATACATAAGTGAAATGTTCGTAATATGCCCAGATCACCATGCAGATGG